TACCGCGCGAATTGTCTCAATGTTTTTTCAAGTATACACTTGTAACGATGCAATTTCAAAATTTTTAATTTTAAGAAAATGTCAAATTTTTATGAAATAAAAACCCATGTATGGATGTATGGTATGAATGACCTGTTTATTTCTTTGGTGCCTCAAAATCTAAAATATTTCGCATTTGGCGTTAAAGTTATGCATTGATACAATTTACATTTTTGAGGATTCTTGACTTTTTTTAGAAATTAAAAAAGTTTATAGTCTACATTTTATGAAAATTCAGGAAATTTTTAATTTTATTACAATCTAAAATTCTTAATGATACAAAAACTCGAATTTCTACCATTTGAAGAGTCGAATAACGCATATCTGTTCATTTCTTGCGTTTGTTGTAATTGAAAATATTTCACTTTGGCGTTAAACGTACGCTTCAAACAAACGGATCTTTTTAATGCATTGTTTTCGGAAATTACGAAAAAAAATGCTTGTTTAAGCCCATACAACAGGAAAGTTGTAGCTAGTCAAACTCAAGTTTTAATTTTCTGAATACGTCCAATTTTTGATGAACATTTTAACTTGCAAACTCCAAATATCTATTTATTTTTCGAATTATGACAATCTAAAATATTTCACATTTGGCGTTATAAAAAGGAAATTCACGTTTTAAGAGGATTTTGGAAGTTTGCCCAAGTTTGCTCAAGTTTGTTTGTTTTGTCATACATATTCCATGGTCGTGTTTTGTTTGATGGCGTGCTTATTACAGGACTTTTACCATATTTTCATTTTTACCAAAAACCGAGTGTCTTTTTTACCAAAATTGCTACCAAAAACATTATCATGACTACATACATAAATTTCTCCCAACATTTTTAAGAGTGTGATACATATTCCATGGTCGTGTTTTGTTTGATGGCGTGCTTATTACTGGGAAAGAAAAAGGACGACATGGATCGCAACACATAACTTATCACCGAACTTACCAGCGACGGAACAAAGGGAGAAGAGAAATGGATTGTAAGTAGTGAGGTCGGCATTGTGCGATTTGTTCAATGTCGGCCGGTTTATTAGACGCGTTTTATTTATGACTTTTTCTATCCCACTTCTAACTTCTTCCCTCTTTTCGCCAGGATTAGTGATGCCAAGTGTGTCCAAATTGAGGGTGAAGTTGGCCATCATTTTTTTAGCTGAAAAAAATTATTTGGGGAAAAATTTTGAAATGGTTTTTACCAAAATTTATGGTAAAACTGTATCAATTTGGTAACACACTTCTCGTATAAAATGGTTTATCAAGCTTGCTAAACATAATAGTAGAGGAATCGGCTTAGTTTTACTAAAGATTTACCAAAGTGATTTAGCAAACTTGGTAAAAAAAATACGACACAATTTTACCAAAATTTACCAAACATTTATCACGTTTAGGGGAAAAATGTTGTGAAAATATTTTTAATTAGGAAAATACCATGGTTTTTACCAATTTGCAAGTGTTACCAATTTCTATTCTACCAATGTATCATATAATTTACCGATATTGTACCAAATTTGGTAATAAATATTGTTTGGCCAACTTTTAGCGAAAATAAAAAAATTTTAAACCATGCAATTTTTTTCCAGCAAAAATCGACCTGTTAATTAAATTATTACCCATTTTTATTACTTTTCCCAACCGGTGACAAACATGACCAAAATTATTTTACAGATTTGTATCAACTATTCGGGATTTCTTTTACTAAACGTTTTGCATTTGTTTATGACATAAACAAATGTTTCACGCAGTTCTTGGTAATTTTGTAAAATCTATAAATTTTGAAAAATAATTTTTTAAACTTTTACCAAATAAATTAGAAGCCCTTTATCCGAGTATTTTACAAAAATTTGGAGGGCAATTTTCCTCAGAAATATTTGTAAAGTTTACAGAATTTACGTATTTTACAAGGTTACCAAGCAGCCCTGCGTGGATTGCCTGCCTGAAAATTTAACGTCCTCATCACTTACGCAATCTATCTTTGAGTCCGTTTCCCATTTTTCTTAACTTTTTTGAAAAGGTCAAAATAGGAACCCAACCTCTCTGCCCATTCGAGTGCCAGCCTCCTTCACATTTGGCGATAATTTATGACCCGACATGAAAACCACATGATCGTGTAGGGTATGTAGTACCCTTCAAAAAAGTCCAGTCCGACTTCCACACAATTTATCACTTCCCTCCCTTTGTCGAGATAATTTTTAAATTGACCATGTTTCCCATTCCAGCCTCATGTCATAACATGAGTGATGGAGAAATGGGATCGGAAAGAGTGAGGACGGGAATAAAGGATGGGGAATTTTGGGGGAAAAGTGGGCCAAATTTTGGGAAAATTTTGATTGATTTTAGGACAATTTTTGAGGAAAATTGGGACATGTTTTCGAGGAATTTAGATTGATTTTTGAACAATATTGTGACAAATTTTGACGATGATTTAGAAAAACTTCGGGGTAAAATTGGGACAAATTTTGGATATATTTGGATGGATTTAAGGAAAAATGGAGCAAATTTTGGAGACATTTTAATTGGTTTACTGGATTTTGGGAAAAAAATTTGAAAAAATTTTGAAACTAATTTTGAGGCAAAATTGGAACAAATTTTAACCAAATTTTAATTAGTTATATGGAAAATTGTCTCTATTTTCTTGTTTAGTGTTTCAAAGGAGACAACAAAATCGAAGAATCTGATCTTTTGTACTTGGACGTTAAATTTCCTATTAAAATATTTTTGACGTAAAATCCTTACAATCCTGTATATTTTCAATCTCAATAATTTGACAAAATTACGGGAAAACTTTTCTCGGAAAAATATTTTTAAAGACGAAACATATAATTTTGACAACCTACCGCAATACGAAAGCTTTCTCTAAGCAAGTAGCCAATTCACGTGTACTTCGTATAATTGTAAAATCCGCAAACTTGTAATTTTACAAAATTTTACAAATATTTCTAAGGCAAATTAGGTTACAAATTTTTTGTAAACTTACTCAGACCAAGGGCGTCTCTTTATTTGTAAAAGTTTGTAAAATTATTTTACAAAATTTATGGATTTTGCAAAGTTACCAAGGAATGCGTGAGAGTTTTGACCACGTAATAAGAAATCATATCTTACTAAATGAGGTTAACTGCAATATTTCTATTAAAATTATTTTCGACGTGAAATCCTCACAATTTTATAAATTCATAACTTTTCCAACCCAAACTCGGTACAAAATTTTACAAAAACTTAGATAATTCACACGTGTATCTAAAATAAATCCACGCCTTAAAAAATTATTTCCTGAAAATTCATACACTCAATTCACAAATGTGTAAAATAACGAACCCACGGCTTAGAAAAACTACTGCATGAAACTCAATTATCCCAATTTCGTGCACTTTTCATGATTTATTTCGTCACTTTCCATCATTCCAATTCATTATGTAAGTGCATACGCACTTTTACATTTTCCTCACGAAAAGGTCGGTCGGTTGGGGTGCTCACACTTCACTTCACATTAACACATGCACTTTGTCACAAATGACAAAGTGACAATTGTCCCCAAAAATTGAATTAGATATTAGGACTTAGAAACGACGACGGAATGATTTGTGACGTCCTGCCTTTTTACTTGCAGGATTGTGCTCTGTAAATAATGTGGTAATAAAGTTACTCATTTTTACCGGAAAATTGGTAAAAAAAATGTAAATTCCCTGATGTATTATAAAGTTGGTAAAAATGGTAATATGTAAATGGCCAGAATTTTTTTACCAATTTCTTTGTCCTTGTCAGCAGCGATTAAAATTTTTACCAAAATTTATACATACTAACAACATTATCAGCTTAGGAGCAGTTTTACCGGAAAATTGACAATAAATTTAAGTTTCTTAATAATATATATCTGTCGTCGATTTAGAATAATTATATTTAAGAATTTGACTAGATTATGAGGACCATGATTTTAAGAATATGACATGATATGAAAATTTGTATTTATTTCCTGATATGAGATATGTATGTACATGCATGGTGAATATGAGAAGAGCAGGGAGGAAGATTCAAATTAGTTGCCAGTCTGTCTGGATTTAAGTGGAAACTTGTCCAAACTTTATCTCATTTTTTGTGCTCCCTTGAACTTCTGTGAACCTTGGTCACCTCTCCTCTCATTGGTTAAAGTTTTTAGTGACCCCCTCCCTCCGCGTCTCCTTCCTTCTCGCCCATTGGAGATGGGCGGAATTTTGTGGCAGTGCCTTGCCGAATATATTTGTGAACATTTGTGAAAATTGCCCAGTGTCGACTCACCACTACGAGGAAGAACATCGTAACCTCTAAATTGTCCCTCGTCTCATTTTACACTCTAAATTTGTAATAGTTGGCTTATGTGTAAAATAAATGACACCACCAAGTAATTGATTGTGACCACACCGCCGCCTTATTTACGCCTCACACGGTCACATTTCGCCCATCGCCATTTACACATTAGTCACACACACAAAAACACATAAAGTTCTCTTAAATCCGAAACATAATGGTCTCGCGAACCGGATTGTTCCACCCCTAAGTCTCGTCAGTGTCGAGAGTGGAAGTGTGACGAGTGGGAGGACCTGCCAAGCAGCCAAGAAGGGTCCAGAGTCGTCGCTCATTTGGGACCGCCGCAGCCAGCTAAAGGGTCCGCCAGCCGCCAATAGGAATCGTCGTCACATTTGGTGACACCTGTATTGTGGGTTTGAACCCGCCCCGAAGGGGTTCATATGCCGGGAAGTAGAGTCCAATTCTTCCCCCCGAAGGACATATTTTAATTTTTTTTGTTCTGTTGGGTCTGTTGTTCCCGTAGATAATGGAACGTCCCAGCAGAAGCAGCGCTCGAGCCGCCTGAAGGAGGATCGAGCAGGAAACCCGCACCGCCCTCGACGCCGTGGAGGAAGCGTGTCGTGCGCGAAGAGAAGATCTGGCGCAAGTGGAAGCGCAACAGGAGTCCCTTCTTCTCAAGATTCAGAGGATCATCGAAATGTGTGCAGATCCCAATATCCCCCCTGATGAATATGCAAATCTGACCAGAAGGCGCAAGAGTCTACAAATTGACCTCGAAGAGTCCATCGATGATGTGGAAACAATAAGAGTCCTCGTCAAGTACGACGAGGAGTTTGCCGAGCTCGAGCAGCGAAAAATACTGCTCATAGCCGAGGCAGAATTAATCGAGCTGGAGAATGAGTCAACTTCCGTCCAACCAGCCATCGCAAATTGGCCATCGATTGCCCGGTCCAATATTGTCCCCGCCGTTGACCCAATCACTGCAGAGTCAATGTCATCTTCCTCTGCCACCACCACAACGACCACTGCCAGGTCGAAGCCCCTCTTCCCCACGTTCGTCATGCCCAGTTCATCACCTCTTCAAAATTATTGGACCCAGCCAGCGTCCATTTCGCCCGTGTCCACACACACTCATTTTGCTGCACCTCCGCCCCCATGTCCACTACGCACACGATCGCAGCACCGCCGCCGAACAGTCCCGTCTGCACAATTGCTCATCATACGACCACGCCGTTCGTACTGATTGGAAGCATTCAGAATCCGCCAACACATGCCAAGAATTATTGGACTGCGACTCAGTCCACGCCCGTATCACCGTCGTCTGTGTCTTCGTTTGACACGACCGCGCCACCGCCAAAATCCGTCCCTGCAGAACGAGATACGACCATGCCGCTCGTATCATTGGCGAGTTGGAGCCCCGAATTGAATCCTCCCCCTCCCATCGTGTCCATGCCGTACACGATTACTACTGCAGCACCGCCGCCGAACATATCCGCCCACCATGCGACCAAGCCGATCGCTGTCGAATCGGGAAGCTTTCCGAACCTTCCCCCACTTGCCCGAAGTTATTGGACCTCGCCTGCGTCCACTCCGTTCGTGTCCAAGCCGTACACGACCACGAATATCTACGCCAGTCATACAACCACGCCGCCTGTATTTGCAACGAGTGGGAGCACGCCAATCCCCCCCACTCAGAATCACTGGACTGCGCCTCAGTCCATGTTGCCTCCGTCCACGCCGAACACATGCCCCGATGCAGCTCCGCCGCCAATGTCCCTGTACAGATCTGCCACGCCGCCACAGAATATTCATTCAGAATTGAATACGACCATGCCGCTCGTATCAATCGCGAGTTGGAGGATTACCAGTCCTCCTCCACGTGCCGTGTCCCTGCCGTACACGTCTGAAAAGCCGCCGTCCGTGTCCATGTTGCACACGACGCCCGCACCGCCGAATGTTCCTGTCGTCGCCCCATCCGAATTGAATTCGACCAAGCCGCCCGTACTAATTGAAAGTTGGAGCACTGCCAGTCCTCCTCCTCCAGCCGTGTCCGTGCCGTACACGCCCCCAGCTGCATCGCCCCCGCCCGTGTTTCTGCCGTATCTGAATGCAGCGACTCCCATCAAGCCTGCACCTCATACAGCCACGCCCTCTGTATCCGCCAAGAGTGAGAGAATGCCAAACTCTCCCACTCAGAATCGCTGGACTGCGCCTCAGTCCACGCCACCAATATCCTTGTAGTACCAGACTGCACAGCCACCGAACATTCCGAACGCCCTCACGCCCGCCCAGAATATGACATCGCCGCTTGCAGCAATTGAGAGTTGGACTACTGCTACTCCTCCTCCTCATGTCGTGCCACTACCGTGATTTACACATTAATCACACACACAAAAACACACAAAGTTCTCTTAAATCCGAAACAATATCCATTAAAATTTTAGGAAGTTGGTAAAAACACAGTGAAATAAAAATACCATAAACTTTTTACCAATTTCTTTCTCCTTGTATAAAGCGGTTCAAAATTTTTCCAAATTTCATTCATTTCTAATTCCACTCATTTTTACCGGGAGATTGGTAACAACTATAAATTTCCTGATACACATATTATAAAGTTGGTAAAAACACTAAAATAAAAATGGCCACACCTTTCCCCAATTTCTTTCCCTCGTCAAAACCCGTCCAAAATTTCCCAATTTCATACATCACACCCCAGCTTCCCTCCACATTCTTTAAGTGTGCGTCCTAATCCTAACTTGACAAAGTAGCCTCATTATGCCCCACATCATACAAACCCCACACAAAATAAATATGACTCTTTAGCCCAGGAAGAACTCGACCAGGCCGAAAACCACTCCATTTTTTCCACTCCCTCTTTCTCCATCCGTCCCAAAGAAGCAAATCATCTCGACCAAAGAAAGAAAGACGACCGAAAACCGGGATGAGAAATGGTCGTCCCGTTTCTCTCCTTCACGACGATGACGGAGATGGATCATCGGCAGAATGAGGAGAAGACTCCTCTGGTCTTTCGACCTCGTGGATGATGAGACATTTACAAATGACACCGAAAGAAACGATGGGAAAACATGTGTCCCTTCTACAACTCTCATTTGTCTAAAGATAGTACGCGAGGAGAAATATTAAGCTAAATGGAGAAATAGTTTTTGTGGGACAAAAGGGAACAAGAAGTAAGAGAAAAAATTGGTAATTAGAGTTTTTTACCAGTGGTAAAAATGCGACCGGTATTGTTACCAACCAAATTTCGTAAAATTAAATCAATCAATTTCGTATGTAATTTATAAAATCTCGATAATTTCAGTTTTTGGTTAAACTGTTTCACAAATCGCAAATTTATTGAGTTACAAAGATTCGAGTGAATTGGGCTCCTCAAGCCTCAAGCTGTCGTATTTTAATGGATTTTAATATTTTAAAATAATGCACCCCACAAAATATCAAGTAAATCAACACAATTTTCTAAATGAGTAATTTGCAACCCAAAATGTGTCGTAAATGTAAAGTTTGTAAATCACTTTACAAATATTCGGTAAGAATTTATACACAATTTTGTGTTCTTATACTGCCGAAATATATAATTCTACAATTTTACAAGCCTATTTTTGTTTATAGATTTGTTGGGATAATTACAGAATAAGAATGGAAATTTTGATCTGTACAATTTCACGTTAAATTTGGAACCTAATTTAAATTTGTAATCTTTATAAACACATCTTGACACAATTCATGCAGTGCTTTGTTACAAAATTTTAAAAATATTTCGAAAGAAAATTAGCTCACAAATTTCTGTAAACTTGTTCAGATCAAGTGCGTCTCTTCATTTTGTGCAAAAAAAATGGTTTTGCAAATTAAAAAGTTACCAAGGACTGTGTGAATTGCCTCATTGAAAATATGTATAGTTTGCAAAGATTCGAGTTAATTTTGTGCCAAAATCTCATCCTTCAAAAAAATATTATGTTGCTAAAATACACATCTCTAGTGAAGTTGAGACCGTCTTGCGGGCATGCAACCTTTGCAAATTTTTTGGCAATAATTTTTATTTGTGGTTGGATACCGTCGAAATGTAAAATTCTACAATTTTCTAAGAATATTTTAATTGGTTACTTCAGATTCCAAATGTATGATAACGAGTCTTTGATCTGTATAATTTCAATGTGTAAATTTGTAACCTCATTTTACTTTGTAATCTCTTCCTAAACAGATTTGAAACATGCATTAGTTACAAAAATTCGAGTGAATCTAGTCCTAAAATCATATCGTTAAAAAAATGTTATAATTATTGTCAAAAAACCGAAAAGTACATAATCTTTACAAATTTTTTGCAAATTTTGTTGCCAATAATTTATATTTTGTGATTGGAAAACGTCGAAATATAAAATTCTACAATTTCTAAAAAACTTGTTATCAATAGATCAAGTTGTTCTTCTCATGATACAAAATATGTAATAAGTGGACTTCGATATTTCGATATAAATTCAAGGCAAATTCGTAACCTCATTTTACTTGTAATCTTTCTAAACAGATTTGATTCAAATCTTGCAAATCTACTTAAAACACTGAGTTTGATTTTAGGTAGATTTCTGTAATTTCTCTGGCTGGTAAGGGTTAGGATGAAATTGGGGAAATAATTGTGGGAAATTTGCGAAGAAAAAAACTTCCAGCCAACATTTTTCCGAAATCTCGCAAAATTTCCGAAAAACGCTTGCACGAGATACGTGTCCTCAACATTTAAAAATGTCACACAAACTTGGTAAATTTCGTAAATTTCTATTCATACCAAAATAAAGAGATGTTGTCATAAAAGAAAACTGTGAAATTTTCAAAATACTCGACAAATTTATTTCTTATTTTTCCATATATTTCAAAATTTCATATCTTTTTTTCATTTTTTTTATTACTACTTGCCATCACCATCCATTACTTATAAATTAGTCAAGCATCCTTCACTTTCACGTCTCCCTACAAAAGTAAACACTTTTATTTCCTTCAACACATTTCAAGTCAAAAGTCACCGTGAAATTTGGTACAACAACAAATAAATTATTTATGCAAATCAAGCCACCAAAAAAATATGCCTTTTTCCCCCGCCCCGAAAACATATATCATTTACGTGACAGACCGAAAAATGTGTGTGTGCAACGCGACAAGGAAAAAGGTCACAAAATTTCGTGTTGTATGAAAATGCTTGCATCGCGTAACACGATCCATTCGTCACATCTCTTTTACCCGGCACGCTAAATAATGGGGGACATAAATTGGGAATTTTAAAAGGTTTCGGTATCTGGTAACGATTTTTTACCGAACTGTGTACCAAATTCTGTATTTACCAAATTGTGGAAAAATAATCTTGGTATTCACATTCAAAATTAGGTGGTAATGAATCTTTACCATGCGGAATGACTATGTGGCTCTACCACGTCGGTTACGATTTGTAGTGGAAATGGTAATAATAAGTTCAGGGAAATTCAAATTTAATACATAATGGTATTCACTTCCTTAATATTTGGTAATGAATTTGAATTTCCCTGAAATTATTATTACCATTTCTACGACAAATCGTAACCGACGTGGTAGAGCCACATAGTCATTCCGCATGGTAATGATTCATTACTACCTTATTTTGAGTGTGGTAACGATTTTTTTTACCGAACTGTGTACCAAATTCTGGATATACGTATTTACCAAATTGTGGAAAAACAATCTTGGTATTAAAAAAATCAAATTGTGTACCACGTTTTTTACCAAAACGTTTTGTCTCTGGTAATGAATTGTGTACGTAGTATACGTCTTTTGGTAACGAGTTTATTTGTATCAAATTCTATCCAAGAAGTCTAACTATAATTCGAAAACTAACTAATTAATTTTTCTCAAATGATGTACAAAAATTTTTTGGTATTTTTCATCAAATTGTCACGGCGTTTTGAATTTTACAGTAAATTTTATAGTTCCGAAAATAAAACTCAAACTACTGACAATTGGAATTGTCAAGATTTTACGTCTAAGATATTTTTAAAGGGTGGTATGTTAACTTTAGTAAAATATAGGTAGCACGTGTGACTACTCCAAAATCCAAAATCATGCAAAGTTTATGCAGTCATTGGTATAATCGTCGTATTTTACGTATTTTTAATTTTACGTCATACGTCGTAAAATCCGTAGATTACAAAATTTAAAAAAAAATGTAAAATCAAGTGAGTCTTTTTATTTTGTAAATTTTATAAAATTATTTTACAGAATTTACCGATTTTACAATGTTACCAAGGACTGCGTGAATTGCCTCAATTCCAAACAAAATGAGGATCTTTGTAAATTTTTGTCAGTTTAAAGGTTTACATAACTAACAAAATTACAAAGAATTACAAAATTACAATTTACAAAACTAACAAATTTTGACCTATAGGTCAAAATTTTGTAGTTATTTTGTAATTTTGAAGTTATAACTTCGGAGCCATAGTAGTAGGAGCCATATGTACCTGATATCAAAATAGTAATTTCTAAATTTTGAAAATTTACATTTTGACTCATAACTAGTTAAAATCATTGTACATCAAAGTTCCAATTTGGTAAAAATTATTGTAAAATTGTGTTAATAAAAAATCAATCTCATCGTAAAAACAAATTCACGCGGTCGTTGGTAACTTTATAAAATTTTGAAAAATAAATTTACAAACTTATACAAAGTAAAGAAACACCCTTTGTCTGATTAAGTTTCTAAAAATTTGTGAGCTAATTTTCCTCATAAATATTTCCAAAATTTCTTAAAAATGTGTAAGTTTACGGATTTTTTCATGTTACCAAGGCCTGCATGAAGTTGCCTCATTTTTTAGTGTGCCTTACGTAACAGGATCCCTCCATCGAAACCCTTTTACTTCACCAGCCAGAATTTTATTGCTCTCGTCGTCATCATTTTAAAATGTCGAAATGAAATCCATCCTCCGCGTCCCCGGTGCGGACCACTCCTTTCTCTCGCAAAGCGATACTTTAATGTCTCTTTATTTATGTGATGGCCCATTAAATACCCTCGCAGAGAAATATTATCATCAACCACCGCCCGGTAACAAACACTACCAACAAACATATTTTTCGGTAAAAGAAAGTTTCTTATGCAAAAATTTATAGAGTAAAAATTAGTTTTTTGAGTATTTTTCAGTAAAAAAAACATTATCAAAAAATTTTCAGGGTAAAAATGAGCTTTTTGAGTATTTTTCAATAAAAACCTACCAACC